AAAATACAACAAGACACTGGAAAGAGAAGAAAAGGACAAAGTAGACAGATGCACAGAAATGAAAGAATAGACAGATAAATAGAGAATATGGATGTATTAATAGGTATATGCACTGATAGGCTAATAGAAGAACCCCTTTTGGCAAAGTACTGTAAATATGTTAAGAATGCAAGCATATACGGATAACTTGTAAGGAAGGTAAGTAAGCTGGCACATAGTGTAGAAAGAAAGGAAAATAATCCGATTGACCGCCCCTCTCATATAATCTGAATATATATGTACATTATCACTAAGTTTTGTGCAACTCTTTAATTTTAATTTTATATTTTTGCCAGGCATACCATAGAAATAGCTAGAAATCTAGAAGAGCACAATATCAAACAAGAAATCTAAATGATCTATAAAGTATATTAGCAGGAAATATGAAAAAAGCATGGCGAGCACAAAGAAGTCGAGCAAAGAGTCTATAAAAGAATACGTGATAATAGCCGCTGGTGTATTAGTAATACTGTCAATGGTGCTATACACATGCGTAAGCACATCGCCCACCCGAGACAAATCGCAGGAAGGTCCATTAAGTGTAATAAGCGAGCCGGAGACATCTTTTGCGGATCCAGAAAATAGCGCAGTGTATAAAAACAGAGAGCCCAGTGAAGAAGGAAGTAAAGAAGCAGGCACAACAATACCATTTGAGCAATTGGATGATAGAATAGGTGCAGAGCATACTTCTACGTCTTTAGACATGTATGCACCAGATGAACACAGCAATTCTTCTTCTACAAAAGAAGGAAAAGAAGAGGTGTATGCTGTGACGGATCAAATACACTATATAGTAGATATGCTTAAAACAGCGTGCAGCAAAAAGAGAGATACACTAGAAGAGATGGAGGGCGCTGCACGTTTGGCTTATGAATTTGTTACGAAAAACAATGAAGAACTACAGAGTATTAAAGAGAAGTATACTAAATATAGTTGTGATTACAATTTGGATTGTAAAAAAACAGATGTTCTAAAAGAAAAAATTGAAAGTTACTACCGAAATCCAAACAATATAACTCGAATTCCAAAAGACGAAGATGCTGAATATGAAGCAGAAATGAAAGAGATTGATACGCTATATGAAAAGATCTGTGATACAAAAGAAGACAAGGAAAGAGCATTAGATGAATATATAAAAGCTGGCATGGTTGGAATAGACCTAGAAAAAAATTCGAATATATCGGGAGAAGACACCTTGAAGCACTACTCACATGCGATAGAAGAGGAGAAAGCGCTGCTTTCTACTATAGAATGCGACTTAGAGCTATTTAAAATAATTTACAACAGAGATCAATTGCTGTATTTAGTAAGAAGGAAAGAGAGATGGTATTATATAGAGGATGAGAATAAAACAAAGCTACTGGATGAGATAGTAGAATTACATAAAAACTGTATAGAACATCTGCTTATTGAGATTAATAGTCTAGTAGATATGTTTAGTATACAGAAAAATGCGATATATATAGCAGAAGAAGTGTATAGCGCATATAAAGCGCATTATATGGCTACGTATATGTATACAAAAGAAGAGGAGCTAAGAGAATATATTTCAAGTGGATTTCAATCCCCACTTGAGACCTCGGTTTAGTCTTTGTCGCATATAACCCAAATAACTCGAATAACCAGCAGAGAATGCAGCAGTGCCATGTCTAAGCAGCCTTATGCGCTAGGAAGCAGAGTTCCTCAGGTCTCTAGGAATCGGATAATATGAAGTGTGTGCTGGCAGTAATTTTGAGCTGTGTGTAGTAATAACTAAACCTCTTATGCTATTTTTATTTTACTTTTACTAAAATTTATTTATGACCAAGGATTTGAACTAGCTATAGATTATACTTGTAAAGAAGTACAGAGATGCTCTTTGTATGAGTAATGCTAGAACAAGAATTCAAATGATCTATTTTATATAGAGATGATTTAAAGCACAAATGAGAGAAACATGTAAGAATTTAGATTATATAAGGCATAGAGTATCAAAGTGCAGGCTATCTTATTGCATGCAGTGAAGTTACACTCATTGCGTATGTTTTATTCTGGGCTTCCATAAATATCAGAGATGTTATATATGCAGCAAAATTTCAAAAGATAAATATTTTAATTTAGATAAGAGCTATGGGATTAGATATAAAGTTAGAGAGTAAAGAAGTAGCAAAAAAAGAATTAAGAATACATAGAATAAAACAAGAGGAAAAGAGGAGAGATACCAGGAGAGCAAAGATGTGCATGCTTATTGGGCTGGCTATACTGTGCCATTTATGGGACAGAATACTGACAGTAGATGGGCTAAGAAGTGTCTATATAATGGCAGATCATATTAATGAAGAAACAGACAGCCTAAATAGTAAAATAAAGCCAGTGCTAAGAGAAGAAGCCAGCGATATTGCACTTATGCACAGCAAGAGATTTTTTTCCCCCGAGATAAAAATAGAGCACTCTATAACAGTTACTAAGGATGACTCTGAAGATAATTCAGAAAAAAATGTTCCAAAACACCCGATATACACCTACACACGAAACCACAGGCAGGACAGAGTGCATCTCATTCTTCCGTATGAAGGGGTGTTGCTCAAGTACAAGCGAGCGTACTTTACCACGCTTCTCGAGCTGTTCCCCTCTATGCACGGGTATGTGTCCATATGGTCAGACAGAGAAGACTCTTTTTTTTCTTTTATTAACAGGGTAGATGTAAAAGAGCATAAGCACAAAATACTTGCTTCGTTGCTGCTGCTTGCAGAGGGGATAGATGTACCTCTGGCAATTAGTGAGAGTGAGAGTAGAACAGTGCTGTTTCTGAAGAAGGCAGATGAAGGAGGGGAGCACTTTAGACTCAATATGAATGTAGTGGTTAAAACTGGCAAAAATGCAGAGTCTCTAGATGTGTTTAAAAGGGTGCTTCAGAAAAAGGCAATTGATGTGGTAAGGTTTTTTATACAGAATAGAGAAAATAGAGTTTTTACAAAAGAGGAAAACTCTTCAGAGCCATTCCTCTATAAACAGTTTGAGAAAGTCCAGTTTGTAAATAGTCCCGCCTTCCTTATACAGACTTATATACGCCACTGCCTAGAGAGTACAGAGGAAATAGCTTTATTTATTCAGACTGTGCGGGATCTGCTAAGTGAGTATATGGGGCAGAAAAAAGCCAATTCAAAAAAGAAGCAAAGAATAAAAACACTGGCCATGCAGGCAAAGAGAATGTTTTCCCGATGCTTTATGTCAAGGAAGAAAAGACCAAATGATTCACAGTTCATGGATGCACCCCACCAGATCAAAGAAACACTGTACACCTATTATTATATACAATCTACAACAGATCTACTATATCTTGAGCCGGTTGCAGATGTTGTTCCTGTTCCAATGAAGATGAACAGTTTACTGTCTCTTTGTTTAAAGACTATGGGACTGTGTCTGCCTGCTGGGGAGAATTCCATTAATAATGGTATTTTAGAGCCCATTGCAGGATTTACTGACTATTGCGAGACTGTGCTGCTGGGCCTGTTCTGTACTATTGCGTATAACCCAAAGGAGAATATATTCACAGTTGACCACATAAACTCTGCCTCTAAGCAGCTGAAAAGCTTTTTCCGAAAACACAAATACATGTATGGAGCAGTATCAAAGAAAATGCACGATGACTGGAACCAAGTGGTAGGGGGCCTGTCCAATCAGAACATACAATATATGCGGCCCGACAGAAACCAGCTTGTGCAAGGAATAATAAACATGCTGCATGTCATTAAAGAGATAGCAGGAGTGGGTGATACAGTGCAGATAGATGAGTTTAGAGAAAGACTAAAGAGGATAGAGGAGGAGCAGAAGGTCCAGGAAGTAAAACTTATTTATAGAAAACTTACAAAAGATGCAAACAATACAGAAGAAAAGAAAAATGAAATGAAATTACAAATATTAGGCGTGATTGATGTGAAAAGACTGAATAAAATAAGGGTCCTTGATGAGAAACTTAGAAAAGAAAAAAACAGAAAAGAAGCAGATGAAATCAAGCGAGAGATACACGAACTAATGGATATTGACTTGTTATATAAAAGTTATACTGAGCAAGAGGAGGTGCTGAAAACTGAACTAGAAAACAATATAAAAGAATATCTGACAGAAGTAATTACGAAAATTGCAATAGCTAAGGATGTCACTATTTCAATAGATTTCATGTTTAAAAAGACTGTTAAAGAAAGCTGTAGCGATGCATTTGCCGATTTAACCATATTTTATGGACATGCATCTTATCGCCATTCTTTTAAAGCTTTTTTTAGGTATAACCCAAAAGTGATAGAAGTGGAGTGTAGCATCACTTCTAATGGATTTGATGCGCCATGCCGATTGGAGAACAAAATACCTGGGGTATTTGAGAGAAAAACGCCTATTCTAGAAATATATGAATTAAAGCGCAGTAGACGTTATAAACGAATAAAGATGATCGGGGCCACACTTTTCTATGTGGATATAACCCGAGATTTGGACATAAATCTGCTTGATATTCTAATGCACATTCCAAAACACAAAATATATATTATATGGGCTCTATTGCTACATGCAATAGACAGAAATCTTGACAGCGACCACCCTTTTGTGCGCCTGGTAGATAACCTCCTGGAGAGTGCTCGCTTCATGCGTATCGACCAAAAGAATGAAATGTTTATGCTGCTTAGCCTCATCTCAGTAGACAAGTACTATCCGCACATAACCATAGACGAGCATGCGTATGGAAATGAAGAATATTTTGCAGAAGTAATAGAGAATCTATTGGAGTTGGCAAACAGTGCAACACTTGTGTCCCGCAAAGTGTGTGCTGATATAATAACTAAACTAATGATTAAGTTGTTGAGGACTTTCCGGAGAGATAATGTATATTCAGAATTGAAGTGTTTTGCTAGAAGGCTCAGTAATAGACTCGGTATACCCCGAAGATCTTTATTTGCCAAGATTTTGACACTGGATGGAACCACCATGGAGTATATTACTAAAATTGCTCAATTTGCGCAGGGAATGGGAAACGAAGATCCTGCTGATGGGTGTAAGGGATACATTAATGTGTTTTTGATGTGTATTATTCAGAATACAATTGAATATAGATGTAATTACTGGCAGGCTATAGTAAAAGGATGCTATGACTTAATTGACGTAACAGAACTCAGAAAGAGAAATTTTAGTGATCTTTCTCTTTTATTCAGGCGTGCTACAGGTCTATTACCCGTGTTTAGATTCATAAAACCTATAGTGTGCGTTGAGCATGATGCAGAGAGCGTGGAAAGGTTTAGATCAATTGAAGAACTATTTAATGAACTTGTGCATTGGTAAGAAAACTTTAATAAAGCTATTTAAAATTTGTGTGCTAATACTTGTTGCGTGTGAGTCTGTATAAATAGGCTGTTTAAATAAGGCACTTAATAGGTCATTAAAGAGCAGTAACTATAATTGTGATACAGCTAGCTTAGCTATACATATCAATATTGTTAGTTGTTCACTGTATGTTTGCTAAGTATAAAATATTTTAATTCTAGCTGTGCTATGCGAAGAAGCCTTGTATAAAGTGCTTTAGCTAGAGTTCTTTAGAAATAATAGAGAAAAAGCTTTTATTGCAATTTATAAAGACTCTTCTAGTCAAAGAAGTGTCTAATCTTCTTCAGCAGATGAAGTAGCGGGGTTATATCGGGTTATATTGGCGCATAAGCTGATAAAACTTGGCAGTAGAGCCTTCACTAGTGCATAGCTGGCCCTTTAGCCCTGTAAGGATTTGGGCAATTTTCTTTTCATCATCATATTTGAAAGTAGCCGGGATGTAGTTTGGATTCTGAATAGCGTCAAAGTTGGCCTTAATCAACTCTATAGCTGAGATATTCTCTAAGATGAGATACAGAAACCATGAATAGTGAAGATGGTTTAATATCGCATCTTTCTTCTCAGGATAGTCTCGTGTTATTGTCTTATCAACTATATTAGACCACTCCATGTTTTGGTCTTTAAATATATATATGCAAAACTTGTCAACAAATGAAAGATGTAATGATTTATAAATCCCCTCCTCATTTAAATCACAGTTGTCTATGAAGTATTTCATCCATACAATGAAAATGGATATATCACATTCTAGTACATATTCAAAAATCCCGAAGTATTTTATATTATCCTTAATTCTTCTATATCTATCTTTTTCCAGATTTATATTCGGGTAGCTGGGATTTTCACTTTTTTTATTGAGCAGGCCTGCGCATATAGTAACCGGGAGTATTTTCTCTGCAATATCCCTGTTATCTAGCTTTGTGCTTCCTATTATGTTGGAGGTAAACCGAACAAGAGGATGCTCTGGGGATAGCTTTTGGTTCAGAGTGTACACAATAGAACGATCAATTAATTCCGCTTTATAGTCTAAGTCACTGATTTTCTTCACTAGCAGCAGCCTATTTATGTCTGTAAACTTGTTCTCAATAGTCTTGCGCACCTGTGCCTTTATAAACTCTCTGTTATTCTCAAGAGTATCAAGTTTTCTTACTTCATAGTCAACATACGCAGCAAATAGATTTTCAATGAATTCTGTCCTATTTTTACAGCTATCTGCAACTCCTTTCAATTTAGACATTCTATTATCCCAGATGTTCATAACAGCAGGCTTTATGCCAATAGTAGCATGGGTTTTAGATATTTCCAAGACTATTTCATTCTTGATGTCACTTGTCTCAAATGAAATAGTAATATGACCAGATATGTCGTATCTTCCATTATTACACTTGTAACTTTCAAGAGCAAAGAACTCTACGTCTACAATTTCTATATTGGATAGGCGTTTAAGTAGTTCTTTGGTGTATTCCCTAATACTGTTATATAGTCCATCGTCCTCTTCTTCGTCCTCTTCTTCCTTTTCCCTTTTCTCCTTTAGCCTCTCTTCAAAGCCAAATATTTTGTCTTTTTCTTTTTTAGAAATATTTACTATTTCAGCAATAACCATAAGCATGTTTATAAGACCTATGTCTAGCTTATTTCTATTTCTGCAGTATGCAATTCTAGGTTCGTCTAAGCATGCAACAACTTTGCTCCACTTCTTCTGGAATTCAGCCTTTGTTGTGTCAAATGACTTGTTCTCTCCTGGGGCAAAGAATTCTTTAAGCTCTTCAGAGACATTCCCCATATGGTCTGTCCGATAATTTTTCTCTTCAGGATCATATGCCAGGCAGCAGAAGAGGGAGAGAATCATGCGCTCCACACCGTTGCTGTAGTCTTCCAACGGATCAGTAGAAAACTGTTTTGTCATTGGATCGCGCCATGGAACATATGTGTATGAAGGAAGCTCCGTACTATCTAGGAATGGAAAGTCCCGATACATATTAACGATCTCATGAGTTCTCTTCATTAGAGCCATGCAGTCTGTGCCTGTTTCTGTACTGGCAGGTTTAAAAAGCCTGTCGTATACAGAGTCACCTTTACTTGGAGCTTCTGTCTTTGGTGCATACTTCTCTGTCATAGTGTGCACAGTCTGGATAAACTCTGTTGCACGCTCTGTTGTGTCAATGAACCCAAATATGTAGGACTGTATCAGGAACCTTGGACTGTCTAAGAACTTTCCTGTGGCAACCTCCTCTTGTGAGCACTTGTCTAGCATTAGACTCAACACTTTAGAATTGGTTGCATTCTCCTTGAAGAAGCTGATCATTCTAATAACCTTCTTCTGTTCGAGTTTTTCTACTTCACCAGTTTTAGCACATAGCCACTCAATCTCTGTGGGCACTTCAAAGTATATTCCCTTTTCTCTGTTCGGGTTATATACCTTTAGTGCAGACTGAGTAAATTCAATGGGAATATCTACCCCCTCTGAGAAAAGAAGCAGCATGGCCAGAATTTGCAAAGAGTGCTTCTCTGTTGTCTTAGCTCGAAGAAACTGAATGAAGGACTGGTTTACTCGCGTCTCTATTGTTATGTCACCCGTTGGTGATGGAAACAGCTCAATCAGATTGTTATGGTACTTCTCATTGTACACATCCATTTCACTAGAGGATAGTGCTTTGTAGGCCTCGTCCATCTGTGTATCTCGAGTGTATTTATATTGTATATATCCCCAATCTATAACTTCGTTCTTTAAAAGGTAGTCTGTATTAATCTGCGGGGCAAAGAACCTTTTGTTGTACATGCACTCCATTTTCTGGTAGATGTATCCGCGAAGGAAGTTTAGAGATCCCTCTGGGTTTATCTTCACTGCTGAATAATCCTTTTTAATTTCAAACTGCAGAGTGGCCTCTATTTCATTCAATGTCATGTACGCTCTGTGCGTGCTCATTATTAGAACACTGATTAAGACAGCTGCCTTGATCCAAATAACAAAAGAATATACTTTTGTTGAATATCGCTGGTTTTCTCTCCTCAATGTGTTAGACCTCGTCATACTAATTAAAATTTTTATTGCGAGTGGCTATATATAGCAATAATTTTAAATTAATTTTTATCTTTGGTTTTCTTAGTTGGCAATAATTTTTATTTTTTATTTTTTACTTATAGACCTTCTCCAGGGGTTATATTTTATAGAGATAATTGACTATTCTCTTGCCAGCGAATAAAGAGTCCTAGAGTCAGAGCCAGCCTAGCCAGCGCATAAACAGGTAGAGCCCCATGTAGTGTGCTGGTCTACAGCCAAAACATAGAAAGAAATGCTCAACACTAATCTATACTGCTGGCCCAGATAAAGGGTTTCATACTCTCAAGGCAAGGAAAACCAATAGTGCACACAAATAGAGTGTCTTTATGTATTTGTATAGTACATAGTACATCCACTGTATAATGCGAGTAGAAGAGTGTCTCTGTCTAGCTGTCAATAAATGCCTGTTTCATTCTCTACTTATCTGTAGTGTGTTACTCTCTTTCTTCTCTCTTTGTATCTGATCAGTGGTGGTTCTCTAGAATGTGTTGCTTTTCTCCTATTTCCTGTCTCTAGTGTTTTATTCTCCCGAATATTCTAGTAAAATAAATTGCTTCAGAGGGCTGTATGTATACTTTATTTTCCAATATATAGGAGAATAAAAATACAAGAAGACATAAAAAGAGAGGAAATGGACAAAGTAGGCAGATAGACATAAATAAAAGAATAGACAGATAAATAGAGAGTATAGATGTATTAATAGGTATAAGCGCTACTAGGATCAGTATAAGGCTTTTTTGACTGAATACTGCAAATATATTCATAATACAAACATATACTGATAATTTGCAATGAAAGATGAGTGAGCTGCTGTGTAGTGTAGAAAGAAAGGCAAATAACCCGAAATGCCAACCCCTCTCATATAATCCAAATATATATATACATTATCACTAAGCTTTTTGCAATTCTTTTATGGTAGTCACCATTATTTTATTTTAGAACAAAAGGAAAAAGGTATAGAAAATTCCAGAAAAAAAAATATAAATTTAATTTATTTTTTCCTGAAACACGACGTTACAAGATCATGAGCATCACCAAAAGTAATATCACGCAGCAACAGAACAATGACCATACCACAAAGGAAAGAACAAACAACTTCCCTCCCAAGCATTCATCCAATAAAACATACGTGAGTAAATCTCTCTCTCTTATCGATTTCTATGCATCTACCGGGCGATTTCCGGACTCAAGGGACCGCATCTTTAATTTTAATTTTATATTTTTGTCAGACATACTATGCTGTTAGCTGAGATCTAGAGAAGCATAATATAAAACAAGAAATCTAAATGATGTGTAAGATATATAACCCGAAAAAGATGAAAAAGCATGGCGAACACAAAGAAGTCGAACAAAAGGTCTATAAAGGAATACGTGATAATAGCCGCTGGTGTGCTATTAATACTATCAATGGTGCTATACACATGTGTAGCCACACCACTCAGCCAACACAAATCGCAGGAAAGACCATTAAGTATGATAGATGAATCGGAGAGATCTTTCACAGATACAAAAAGTAATGTAGTGCATGAAAACAGACAATTTGATGATGGAGGAAGTAAAGAAGCAGGCACAGTAATACAAGTTGAGCAAGTGGGTGATAGAATAGGTGCGGAGCATGCTTCTACGCCTTTAAAGGTATCTGCACCAGATGAACATAGCAATTCTTCTTTTATAAAAGAGAGAAAAAGAGAGATGCCTGATGGTATGTATAAAGCGCAGTACGCAGTGATAGTGGCTGAAAAAGAGCACAGAGAGCAAATAAATATTCTAAACGAGCTGGATGATGCTGCTGATTGTGCACACAAGACCTTTTTGGAAAATAAGAAAGAACTAAAAAATGCTAAAGTGCTGTATGGTAAATATGCAGACGAATATAAAAAGACTCATGAAAAAATAACAACTCTAAAAAAAGAAATTACAGCTTGTTACATAAACCCAAACAGTATAACCCGAATTCCAGAAGGCAAAGATACTAAATATGACACAGAAATGAAAGAGATTGATAGGCTATCTGAAAGCGTGCATGAAAAAGAAAAAGTTAGAGTATGCAAAATTAATATAGCGAAAAAAGCTCTTATCTATGGGAGAGAGCTAGAACAAAATATGCATAGATCAAGAAAAAACGCCCTGGAATACTATTTACATAGAAAACAGGTGGAAAAAAGATTGATCTTTACTATAAAATGCACCTTGGATTTATTCGAAACAATTTATAGCAGAACTAAACTGCTGTGTTCAGTGAGAAAGAAAGAGGCATTGTATTATATAGAGAATGAGGTCAGAGCAAAGCTTCTGAACAATATAATAGAATTACATGAAAAGCTTGCTCACAATGTGAATGATGGGATCGATATAATAATTTATATGTGTATAGTACAGAAGGATGTTATATCTGCTGCAGAACAAGTATATAGCGCGTATAAAGCATATGATGCAGCTGCGTGCAAGTATGAACAGCAACAGAAGTTGAGAGGATGTGGTTTAAGTATATCTCAACACCAACCCGAGTTCTGGTTTTAGTCTTTCTCTATATAACACAGGCTAAGAGCTAAAAAAGACTATGCAGACTGTGCTCAACAGAGAATGCAGCAGTGACATGCACAAGCAGTTTTGTGGGCTAGGAAGCAAAGTATCTTGTGTCTCTAGGAGTTGAATAATATAGAGTGTGTGCTGGCAGCAATTTTGAGCTATGTGTAGTAATAACTAAACCTCTTATGCTATTTTTACTCTTACTTTATTTTTACTAAAATTTATTCATGCGCAAGAATTCAAACTAGCTATAGATTATGCTTGTAAAGAAGTACAGAGATTTTCTAGAAGGTTACATTTATAAACCTTGTCTTTATTTGGTTTTCCATTTGTTTAAGTAGTTTTAAATGAAACATCCTCTGCTTCCAAATCCCATTTAGACCGATCAGATTATGGACCTAATTCCTAATAACGGAAGGTTTTAATCACTTGTATCCTGCTTCATGGCAATACAAATAAACCAAAATTATTAAATGCATCAACTGTTAGTCTGTGCATACGATATTCAATCATACAAAAATATAGAATAATTTTATTTTCTGTCCTTTATTTATATTCACCCAGAATAGAGTTTTCTAGACAAAAGCAGAAGCTTCTGAAAGCTTCTAGAAGATGCCATTCGTCATACTATCTGGAGGTGGTTAATTATTCGCCCATGAACGAATAAAGGCTAAGAGTCTAATCCATTCAAAATAACTTATATGTAAGAAAACATAGCACCTTGTAGCATGTTGGCATACAGATAAGCCCTTGGAAGTCAATGGCCAAAATCAACTTATACTGCAGCAGGCTGAGGATTTAGGTTTGGGTTTCTTGAGCCACCAACAGTATTCCAAGAAGTATGCTAACACAGCATCATACTTTTCTATACTTTTTCTGTCATCCTCCGAGCAGAAAAGTGTTTTATTTTCTTTTAAAGTGCTTAGAGATTTTTCAAAATATTTCGTGGGTCCTGACATTCTTTTTTTAAACTTAAATGGGTTTGGATAACTATCAAAGAGTATAAAGTCGTAAACTGTCTTAATAGACTCTAATGAGAACTTATAATCATCCGAGCATGCATGGATAAACCAGATAATATACACGTAGTTTAAATTGTAGGCTTTTGCAGATTCTTTGATAATGGATTGAATTTCCACTAAGTTATCTATCCTCAGGATAAGCATGACGCGATAACTTAGAAGCAGTCTGGTTATAAATTTTACTCTTGAATCGATCATTCTTGGGTTATGCATAGTTGCTCTAATATAGCTGCATGTAGCTTTTGATATAGCAGTCGCTGAAAGAAGCTTTAGAGTATTGTATAAATATGTTTCTATTTCTGATAGGCGAATCCAAATACGATCTTCTTTTGGGATAGGCTCTGATGGCTTAAATCCAAGCCTTGGATAGAGTTTCTGCCAGCTTGCATGAAATGGAAAGAACACCATCATTGAAAATCTTGATCCATAATCATTGAGTGGAACACTTCCTAAAATGTTTGCAGTAATTCGGGTTAGAGGGTTTTTGGGGCCTACTTCCTTATCTAGGGTACAAATTATAAATTTCTTTATAATAGTATTTTTAATATCAAAGATAGAAATCTTTCCTAATAAGAATATTTTAGATATATCTTTGGATTCTTCATGTATAATTGAGACTACGATTTTTTCAAGTTTTTTACTGAGACTATAACTGTTAGAGCTTAAAGCATCTAGCTCTGCACTAACATATTGAACCGCAATGTATCCTATATAGCAGTCTACATCACTGTAAGTTTTTTTTACTTTTTCATACTCTTCTTTAATATGTGCAGAGCTAGTATTTAAAGATTGAAGAAGCGTAATGGTAGCATGCCCATGTTTTATATCCAAAGAAATTCCACTCTTTCCTTCATAAAAAATATAAGTGATACTAATTTTAGAGAAAATATCTACCTTTCCATTTGATCTTGTCCCAAGTTTCATCTGGCTGCACTCTACTTTTACATTCTTATTCAGTGATAAAGACCTAATAATTGATTCTATCTTATTTGAAATGCAAACTTCCTGCTTACTATCTAATTTTCTTGCTTTGCATGCAGATTCTATACACTTAACTAGCTCTAGTATGCCTTCCTTCTGGCCTATTATTTCTGAAATAGCAAGGAATATATTTCCAA